TATATATGAAAAGCAAGTGTACAGATAATCATAAGTTTAGTAGTTGTATCTACATTTGTTGTTTTTCCAATTTAACTTCACAGCTTCGGTCCTTGTTTGGTTGTTGTAGTCAATCTCCAAAATAAATTATCTAAACTGGAGCAATGGCTATGTTCAAGGCCTCTTGCTAAATACAGACTGTCTTTTATCTTCCACCTAGGCACCATGCATAGGCTGCTTAAATGCAAAATGAGATTTGTGATATATCTCATGAGCCCAGTTAGGTTTCGTATTGTGGTATAAATAGTTTTTCTTAAAATGTATCTCTTTTTTTTTTTTTGTTTTGTGAATATTTCTATTGTAAATGATGATGTTAACCCATAAAAGTGATTTCTAGGTGAAAGCAATTACATTGACTTAATTCTCAATTGCCTTGACAGGTGCAGTGACACGATTCCAGGCTACAGTGAAACAACTGTTCCCATCTTAAACTGCTGAAATGGCGCAATCACAGATCCGCTTGAAAATTCTCCCTAGTGTTCGCAGCTTCTTTGACAAGATGGTGCGGGTAAAAGTAGAGGGACTCACTCCTCACAAACCAGTGGAGCTGAGGTCCAGACTGGTTGATGACAAAGGTGTCACTTTCAAAGCCTCTGCCCTGTACAAAGCAGATGAAAGTGGTCAGGTGGATGTCTTCCGCACACCCTCTCTGGGTGGTAGTTACACCGGCGTGGAGCCCATGGGTTTGTTTTGGGCCCTGGCACCAGACGCACCACACACTAAACTCATGAAGAAGGATGTGCTCAGCCCAACACGCGTGGCCCTGGAGGCTCTTAATGGAGAGACTGGCGAGGTTTTAGCATCTGAATCTAATGAGAGAGGATACATGATTGAGGGGATGAAGAGAATACCTTTACAAGAGGGCAGAATACGAGGTGTCCTCTTCATACCACCAGGTTAGTAGGATTTTAACAAATTATTCACAAAATTAGGTATCAAGTCAACATTAACTGTCCCCCCCTTTAGGAAATGGCCCATTCCCAGGAATTGTAGATTTGTACACTTTTGGTGGAGGTCTCACTGAACCCAGATCCAGCCTCTTGGCAAGTAAAGGCTTTGTTGTTCTGGCACTGGCTTATTTTCGTTACCAGGATCTCCCAAAAACCCCTAAAAACCTGGATTTGGAATATTTCGAGGAGGCGGTCACATATCTGAGGAAGCGGCCAGAGGTTAGTATTGAAGAGCAAACAGCAAAGGACATATTTATTAGAAGTAATTCAATGTTATGCATCTTATGTATGTGAAGGTTGTGAAAATATTGCTCAAACATCTGCATTTGAAGTGGATTTGAGATAGAGGCCTATATTTGTGTCTAGTGTGTCAATGTTGCCACCTGCTGGCTTTTCTTCTGATATCACCATCATGGATTAATGATGAAACCTCTATATTTCTTAAGTCTTAAAATATTACAAGCTTTTTGTCATTTTTTCTTTAGTTGAAATAGTTAATTGGCCATAAGTAATTTTGATTTTGGACGTTTACAGCAAGGTGTAATGATCTGTGGTAGTAATAGTTCCATAACATTACAAAATGTTTAGGGGTTCAAAAGTAATTGAGTAGAAACACACAAAGACAAGCAAAATTTAGTTTTATATTTTAAAGAAAGTATTTGTCAGACGTGGAAACAACAGCAAACACTTTGTTAGTCCTAGTGAGCATACAACACCCTGTTCTCATATTTCTTGTACTAAAATTAGTCGATTGACTTGTGCAGCTAAGGATAATCTCCCTCTTTGGTCACATTGGATATATATAACAAGGTTGTTGTCCTCTACTGCACAATTAAATGTCTCTCAGTCATTGCAGAACTCCCAGCATCTTGAACGGATAACAATATGAGCTGCTCCCTTTTCTCCTCTTTTCGCATATCTTTCTTTTTTGAAGTAAACCCATTCTAACTGAAGCTGAGCCTAAAGAACAAAGAAATGCTAGTGTCCATCAATTTGTGATCTGCACTGTATTAGCAGATGTGCACCTGTTACTTGAAAAATTTTAACTAACATAAAACCTCTTGATTCAGGTGAAAGGTCCTGGGATTGGCGTCATATCAATCTCTCATAGTGGTGCCTTGGCTTTGAGCATGTCATCTTTTCTCTCTGGGATCTCAGCGACTGTCTGTATTAATGCCTGTAATGCAAACACTGTGCTTCCTTTACACTACAAAGACATTGTATTCCCGCCACTGCCCCCTGTCATGGAGAATGTGAAATTCACAGAGTCTGGGCTTGTAGATATACGTGACGCCTTACCAGACCCCACCAAGGGCAAGAACAGGGCGTCTTTGATTCCAATTGAACGAGCCACCTGCCATTTCCTGTTTGCTGCTTCTGAAGATGACCACAACTGGAACAGCACGTTTTTTGCCACTCAGGCTGCTGAAATTTTGAAAAAGCATGGCAAAAAATCCTACGAGGTTGTTACTTATCCAAAAGCTGGTCACTTTCTGGATGTGCCGTACATGCCTTATTGTTCATCTGGCTTTCATCCAGCTGTAGGGAGTGTTGTGGTGTTTGGTGGGGAGCCAAAAGCCCACTCTGAGGCTCAGCTGGACCTGTGGGAAAGAGTCCAGGAGTTCTTCAAGACCCACTTGGGCAACAAGAGCACTTGATACTGTATTAATCCATCGAGCATCTCTGAATGGTTGTTCTTAGAAATGGTTACCAGTGCCTGTATTTTCTAATTAGTAAAATTGTGAGAACTCCATTAACCGTCTATTGTTCTGCATCGGAAACACTCCAACAACCGTTTGGTTTCAGATGAGTTTTTTTCAGTAGGACACGGGCTTGTAGCAAAAAATCGTCTATAGTAAAAAGAATCTGAGATTTTGACTTGTCATGGGAAGGAAATGTAAATGGACTGCACATAAAGAGCACTACAGAGTTTTGTTGGGGTAGGGTGTTGAATTTAGTGTCATCCCCACTTCTTGATGCAGACTCAAGGTCTGAGTAGTGGTCTACGTCATAAGCCACAGCCATCAGCTCAAACTTGATTGTTTTGTTGAAGTATCTCACAAAAGTAGAAGACACTTGGACACTTTCTGCAGTTACTTGACAAAATGTCTACCTATAAAAGAACCTACATATGATAACTTCTCCACTGACATGATGTTGGTACAGAACCAGTTCTGCTTTTGTGCTATTTGTAACTTATTTAGTGTTTAATGTTGTATAGCAAAAAAAAAAAAAAAAAGGGGGGGGTAAATATGTGGTGCTGGTGCCAGATTTTTGGGAATCTGAACTGGTGAAAATGCATGGAGCAGTTTGTAACTTCAGCTTGAGTGGAAAACTAAGAAAACGGTAGCATGTTATGGAATCACCTACTGAAAACCAATAGTTAAGCTTCTTTAATCTTGTTTTATCTTTCTGGCACTTATCTAGCAGTATTTGATATTTAAATTGTATAGGGACTGGAATAATTCTGTATTTTAAGAAAGCTGAAAAAAGTGATCTTTGTAAAAAATATTTGATGTTTCCCCAAAAAATGAAAGAAATTTGTTGTCATGTACAATATAACCTATAATAAAGCAAAAGCAAATATGTAAATACTATTATAAATCCTGCTGTGCTGGTTTTATTTCCATGCCTGTTTCAAGAATGTGAATATACTGTGATGATCTGAGCAAGGATCTGAGAGTACACTGCACCAGAGAAGGGAGTCTTATTCGAAAGCTGGGAAAAACATACAGACATGTCCCTCACTGATATTTTGATCACATGAAAATGTGGATTTTCTGTGTAATAGGATGTCATCTTATTTAACAAACAGGAAAACATGGAGTGTATTTAAATGGCACCAATTCTACATTTAAACATTTTTTTCATGGTATTTTCCAAAAGAAAGTCCATTATTAATTAAAATGCTAAGTGATCCATGAAATGTCCTCTGGTACGGGGTTATTTTTGGTATTTTCAGCAACCATGAGAGGAATGTCGCAAGCTCCCATGAGAGTACAGACTGACCAAGACAACAGGGTCAGTGTGAAAAGAGAGTGAAGTTAAACCTACCCTTGTTTTTGAATTTTAATCCTTAATCCCCCCTTTTGACCAATATAAAGGTTTATAAAGTGCTTAGAGACACGACTTTTAAGGTGAAGTAATGTAATGAAGTATTTCCTTAAAGTATTTTTTTTGTGATTTAACAGCCTATTAGGAATGTAGCCATCCGTTACCTTTATTTCTCGGTATCAGCCAGGCTCCTCTTCATCCATGCTGCTTGTCATTCATAAGATTAAGTGGAGTTTCTCGGTGCTACATGAAGAGGAGGGCTCTCCTCTTCAGTCTTGCACCTCACGTTGTTAAATATTCAGTTGCAGGCTCCCCGCACCATCCAGTCTACCAATAAACGGCCTCTGACAGTGCGATTGGCAGCGGCAGCAGGAGTAACAGTCTGTCAGCCACACATATTTTTATTTATTTATTTTTTTCTGGACGGCGAGGGGTGATGGTGCTGTGTTCTCGGTGCTGCAGGCGTCGTTCCCGGAATGGACACTTCGCAAACCGGTGTGGTTTTAGGTGCACTGGGTGTCAGATAGTCCAGCATCCATCCAGCCACACTGCGCACGGATTTCAGTGACCGATTTCTGCCGTGCATCCGCATTACTGGGGAAATATGGGGCATACAGCGTAGGCTTTCCATCTCCCCGTGCTTTGATACAGACTGGGATTATTTTAACATGTATTTTCCTCCCTAATTTATCAGACATAATTACTGACAAAAGACCATCTCATTGCTGGCAGAGGAACGCATTTCCTGCCTGTGTCCGCGTTAAATCTTCATGGAGATCTCCCGTGCAACATAAGATGTGATATGTCGATTATCCCCCTTTTTACTATAAAAAAAAAAAGCAGGTCAGAAATGCCCCTTTACTCTTGGCTGTTGACTCTTTGTGAGCTTTCTTGAAAAACAAACAAACAAACATCAACAACAGAAAGGCATATTTAGGATCTCGGCGTGAATCGACATGGATAGTGCAGGGAGCCGGGCAGCGATGGTGGGGGACGGTGCAGTCAATTTCACAGCAGCCCACCTCTGGCTGGATCTACTGAACGCCTCGAGCCCATCGACCCGGTGGGACAGCAGCCCGCCTGCCGAGGGCACCGGGCTGGACGAGCGGCAGCGACTCGTGCGAGAGCAAGCCTACCGGGACTTCACCACCACCGTTCAGGTTTTCATCCTCCTAGGTTCGCTGATCGGTAAGTCCGCTCAGTACTCCCACACATTCAATGCAAACTCAGTAGGGAATCATAAACATATTAAAAACCCAGCCTCGTTTATGTATTTACTTATTCATTTCTGCTAAATTTAGATTAAACAGCTGCACAGTTTTTGAACTACAGGGCACTGCTTTTCAAATACAATTGAAAACAGTGAGACTCTAAGATTTGTGTAGGGGATCTTCCTGTGCGGACAACCTGTGTCCCAGTAGAATGTATTTGAAATATCTGAGACTTTTTCCAGCGTTTATCAGTCAGCCAATCAATCATCTTCTGGTCAGTATAGTAAACTAGTATCTTCGACTAAAAGAAAAGTCAAACGACGACTAAAAAGTAAAGGATAAGAAAAGCATGACAGAAATGAGTGCGTAGGCCAGTTTATTAGAAACAAACAAAACTGCTACAAGGGTACATTATTATTATTTTTAATCTAATATCCCGTTAAAACCACCAGCAGCTGCCAAATGTAAACAACCTACAGCCCATGTCACCTGC